TGGTCAGTGGATAGGACGTTGTAAAGACTCACTGTGCTCTGCAGCACAGCCTAGAATTAAGATGGTCTTCTGAGTCCAAAAATGGCAAAGATCCAAACACAGGGGAGGGATGGACCGTCTAGATGTCACCAGAGGGAGAGGATCTCAGAGCAGGAAGAGCTAGGCCCAGAATTCTAATCACGGCCTGTCTGAGTATAACAGAAACTCTGCCCCTGGGATTCCCCTGTCTGAGGACAGAATGTGTTAATGGAAAGCAGGTGGTCTGCCAGGAGTCTGGAAGGGAGAAGAATCAGTTGATGCTTACTGAGCATTGTCCGGGCCGATACCTGCTAAATCTGAGGTCACAGGAGAAGTGGGCCAGTGTGCCGGCGGGCCTCACGACAGCCCAGCTGATCCATCTCACTGTTATTCACCTCCCTTTGCTTAGACCATGTGCTCCCCGTGCAGCTTCCCAGGGTGTCCCCTGGCATCCTTCCTGAAGCACCTGATCCCAGGGAGGGCTGACCTGCGTAGAAGAGCAAGCCTACTGGTTTCTCTGTCTCTTTGAGCTTGACTAGCGTGGGTCATCCCCGGAGAGGATTCCCTCTGAAGGTAACTGATGGGGTTTCAGAACCTGACAAGCTGAGGCCTGGACTTGACCATACTGTCTCACTGTGGTGTTGCCCGGCCCAAGCCCAAAGCTAAGGGTGGCTGGCATTCTGCCTGACGGGCATCTTGCCTGACTTCCTTGGGCACCTTCCACCTGCCTCAGAACTGTCAGTCCTGAGGAGAGCTGCACACATGGTCAGAGAAATGGGCTTTGGAGTTGAGCAAACCTGGAACCTCTTACTAATAAGAGGCAAGCAGGAGCTGGTGGGAAGACAGGCCATGGCTAGGACTGGTTGAGGCACTGGGCAGCCAGGGGTTTGGAGTTCCCTGACACCATCATCACCACCAAATCCATTAAAGGACCTATTACTACTTCTTCAGTGGCTGCTAGAATAATTCTGTGATCTCATTCTCAGAGAAGTGTCAGGATCCCACTAACCCCTGGCCCATCCAACAGAGTCACTGAGCCACCCACACACTGGGCCATTTCCTTGGGTTTCTTATCTCACATTTGCAACTGACACTCAGGTTCAAACCTTGTCTCTTCCAGTCAGTGACTGTGAGACTGCAGGCAGTTCACATAAACTTTCTGAGTGCGTTTCCTTGTTTGTGAAATGGTTGTAATATTATACACTTTGTCAGGTTTGCATATGGGTTACAGATAATGTAAAAAACAGAAGCTGGCAGGCACGTAAGACACATTCAATAAATGATATTTACAGTATTTCTGTCACTCGGTCATTCATTCAACACATACATTCTAGGCACTGTTCCAGGAGCTGGGCAAACAGCATTGAAAGAGACAGACCTTGTCGGGTGCGATAGTGTGTATAGAAAGCTATATGGTCCCAGCTACTCGGGAGACTGAGCAGGAAGATTGTCTAAGCCCATGAATTCTGGGCTGTGGGACCCTATGCCAGTTGGGAGTCCACACTAAGTTCGGCATCAATGTGGTGACCTCCCAGGAGCAGGGGACCACTGAGTTGCCTAAGGAGGGGGTGAACTGGCCCAGGCTGGGAAAAGACAGACCTCTCTCTCATGGAGCTCAGGTTCTAGGAGCAGAGGCAGGCAAAAGACACATAGAATGGAATGCCAGGCACTGAGTGACCCCTGTTCAGAAGAAAACGGAAGCAGAGTAAGAAGAAAGAAAGTGATGGGTAGAATAGAGTAGTGGCTATTTCAAGCAGGGCAATCAGGGAATGCCTTCCTGAGAAAAAGGATGTGAGCAGAAACCTGAACAAAGAGAATAACCCATACACATATCTCAGGGAAGGACATTCCAAGCAGGAAGGGTAGCAGATGCTAAGGCCCTGAGGTGGGAGCAGGCCTGGCATGTTTATGGAAAAAGCCAGTAGACCACAAAAATTAGGGAGAGGAGAGTGGGAGAGAAGCCTGGAATAGTGGCCAGTAGCCAGATCTAGGGTCTCCTAAACCATGCTAAGACTCTGGAATTATTTCAGGAATTATGGGAAGCCACTGAAGGGTTTTGAATCATGTGATCGGATTAAATTTAGAAAGCTTTGGGGGCACCTGGGTGGCTCAGTCAGTTAAGCATCCAACTTTGGCCTAGGTCATGATCTCATGGTTCTCATAAGTTTGAGCCCCACATCAGGCTCTGTGCTGATAGCTCAGAGCCTGGAGCCTGCTTCGGATTCTGTGTCTCCCTCTCTCTCTGCCCCTCCTCTGCCCATGCTCTCTCTCTCTCTCAAAAATAAATAAACATTTAAAAAAATTTTTTGGAAAGCTTTGCTCCAGCTGCTGATTGTAAAGTAAACTGTAGGGCAGCAAGAGAGAAATGGAAAAGGCCAGCTAACACGGCATCTCAGAGTCCAGGAGAGAGACGAGTGTGGCCTGGACCATGCTGGGGGCATGGAAGCAATAACAAGCCCAAGACGTGTTTTTGTAGGGGGTGCCAGCAGTGCTTTCTTGAAGATTGACTTCTGGATATGAAAGGAGTCCGGGATGCTCCAAGTATTCTGGGCCTGAGCATTGGATAAATGATGTCGCCATTTCAGAGATGGGGAATGCCAAGGGAGGAAGGGATTTTGGCAGGTGTGGGGGGAGGAAGCCAGAGGTAACTTTACACGTGTTAAGTTTGGATGCATTTCAATTGGAGATGTTGAGCTGGCAGGTGGATATTAGAAGCCAGAGTCTCCAGGGGAGTTTGAAGCTGGAGATTAAAAAGAGGAAGTGTTCAGGATTGTGGGAAAGAGTTGCTGTAGACCAAAGCTCTGGGAGCACCGTGTCTATTTTATTCACCTCTGTATACCCAGCACAAGCATTCAGAATGTATCTGACGAGTAAATGCATCCATTGCACAATGAATGTGGTTTAGTGCCAAACAAAATCATTAACTGAAAGTTTGCTTTATTATTCCCAGCAAAAAATAGAAACCTGGTGTATAGTTTCTTAAGAAATAATTGGCTTCTGATAACATCAAAGTTTGATACTGAAAGGAAGCTTTGAGGCCATTTCAAAATCTGTGGACAGAGGATGGTAAGGAGAGTAGACACTTTATTGCCAAGGGCGGGAGGATGTCTATAGGGGCCACACATTGACAATAAGCTGATTAAATAATGTCTTGAACATCACTGCACTGTTATCGTTCAAGTATATGAAGATGTTGCAATTAAAGAGAACAACATTTCTGTTAATTTTTTGTCCTGATGTGTTCTCATAACCAATAGGCTTCAAAAGAACAACTATCTTTGGGGGGGGAGAAAGTTCAGTGAGTGTTTCTATATTAAAAGGAGTCTTTATACTGAAGTGGATCCTCATTTTGCGAATGAAGAAACTGAGGCTCAGGTTAAGCAATTGCCAGAGTGCCAAAGTTAGCTAAATGGCAAGAGCCAGAACTTAAGCTCTGTTCCTAGCAACTCCCTTTGCCAGCATTTATTCAAAGTGTGGTCAGCCAAACACACTGATCTCATGAGATGTTCCTCAGAAACCAAGTCTAAGTTCAGGATGGGACATATCTGAAACACCGATCTAACCCATGCCCCCTTTTTTTCAGTTGATCCAGAAAGGGAATAGGGGTGGGAATAAGTGACTTGAGTAATTTAAGCAGCTAATTAACCAAATGGGCCTAGATATACCATAGGTCTCCTTAAGCTGGGCCTAAAGTTCTCTCTACCACCCCTATGCCCATTCTGTCTCTCAGCACCAACTTTTCTCAGACCAGTGACCGAGGTCTTGCTTTAGGACATCATTCATATCTAGCCATGGAATTATTTTGGTGATTTATTTTGCTAATGATTTAATACAAGGATTATAATTAGACTTTGTTTTTGCTGATTTCAGAATCCACTTATAGTTGCCTAAACACATTCCATTTGGCAGTGTGTAAGAATAAATAGTCAAAGAAGGGTCAAGGAAAGTGAAATTTTTAATGTGCAGTAGATCATTTACCAAGTGAGTGATTCTCATGTTGAAAATTAAGACTCGATTTTAGTTGCAAACATCATTTTAAGGAAGCTTAGAAACCCGTATGGAATTTCAGGATGGGGCACATCTGAATATCCACATTCTCAGTCAAATCCCAACTCCACAGTGTAACAGCTGTGTGGACCGTGGCCATTCCCCCTGCTCCAAGCCTCAGTTTACATATGTGCAAAATGGGCAGGGAGATACTTCCTTTCCAGTGTTGCCGTGGGCAGTAGGTAGCACACACATGTGGTGCCTGCACGGATGAGTCCCTGGGGAAAGAGACGAGCTCCTGTCATCTTGCATGTGGAGAAACTGAGGCCTCCCGGGAACCCAAAGAAACCAGTCTGAGTTTAGCCTCCTGGAGTCCAGTCCCCCTAGGTTTTAATTACTCTCCAACTCAGATCCCATCTCCTGATGTTCTTGGCTCCTGTCTAACCCAGGCTGTACTTGCCAGGACACTGCCTGTCCATACTCATGGACAGTTTCTCTGGCAGAGAAACTGCCTATGAGGGGCCCCTGCCCCTGGGGTTGGCATCACAAGTCTGAGCCTGTGGGCTGTTTGAGCAAGTCCCCCCGAGAGGCAGCCGAGGTGGCTCCATTACTCACACATCCCTGCCACACAGTGCAGCTGGCCCTGGCCCCAGCACAGGTTCATTTACATAGTTGCACAACAGGAAGCAAGTCCAGTGTTTAGAGCGACTGTGGCCCACTGGGAGCCAACTACTTCAGGTGCCCTGGGTCCTGGAAGCTTGGGCTGTGTGTGCCCTTGGCTTCCACTCTTGCTTCAGTCTTCCACTGCGGCTTGGTGGGGTTTGGGTGGGTGGGTGGGTGCGTGGGTGTGTGTGTGTGTGCGCGTGCGCGCGCGCAGGTTTTGGCTTGTTGTTTGTCAACTGTCACATGTTTGGCAGGCATGACCGGAAGGGGGGTTGCTGTGTCAGGCGGGGGGGAGGGGGTGCCTCTCGTGGAGGCAGAGTTCCTACACAGAGTTCTCCCACAGCGGCTGCAAGTGAAATGGCAGATGCATGTGTCACTCCGTCAGACGGGAACAGGAAGACATCCTGTTGATGCCAAGCCGTTTTGAGTTCAGTTCAAAGAACTGATCCCTTCAAAAAGTGTGCACCGTCCTCCTCTCCCCTGACGCAGTGAGTCCAGTACCTGGCTCTGAGGCTTGTGAAGGACGTCTCAGCTTGGTTTAGTGCTCAGGAAATTGGCTGGTGTCCTCCGTCTGAGTCTGTCACAGTATCAGAGGACCCTCCTGGCCAAGGAAACTTTCTGCCTGAACTGCTCTTTGAAAATAGTTTCCCTTGTGTCTCCTTCCCTTGGAATGGTAATGCAGTCTATGCTGTGTTCGGATTTTCTTTTGTGTTAAATGTTTTTCATGTTTTTCTGACAGGAGGAGCTGTTGTTAGTGAAGATCATTTAGAAGTTATAGTATTTATGGGGATTCTCGGCTCCTTTTAATGGAATTTTCATAATTCCCTTGTTCTTCTTAATCAGTATTCTTGCCAGTCGTTTTGATGGCTGCCTTTATGGAATGCTTAGAGCCAGGCACATTTTAAGAACTTCGCTCATGCACTTAATCCTCACAACAGCTCCATGAGGTGGACAAACAACCATTATTCCCATTTTGCGAATTAAGAAACTGAGGCTCAGGTTAAGCAATTGCCAGAGTGCCAAAGTTAGTTAAATGGCAAGAGCCAGAACTTAAGCTCTGTTCCTAACAACTCCCTTTGCCAGCATTTATTCAAAGTGTGGTCAGCCAAACACACTGATCTCATGAGATGATCTCGGAAAACATGTCTGTGTTCAAATAACTGGGGGAAATGCTGCAAACCATATGCCTCTTGCAGAGCATAAATGCATTTTACTGCAGAAAGACCACGAGAAGTCTTGCATGAAAGAAGCCTGTTTATCTTTGTTTCACTAGAATTTCCAAAATATATGTGACATGGAACCTTATATCTGTATATGCCTATGAAGTTAGAAACATATTTTGAGAAACCCCACACTAGCGTGGGAAGGCATGCAGCTTGGTGGGTAGGCTTCAGATTCCTTGCCTGCTACTACCTAGGGAAATTATGTAGCTTCCCCTGCCTCACTTTTCCCCTCTGTGTAACAGAGAAACATACAAGCACCTTCTCACACCCAGGGTGATTGATTGTGAGAATTAAGTTAGTCAGTGCATCTAACGGACCTAGAAAAGTGTTGTGGGCTGGCGGAGAGAAGTTGATGTTCTAAATGTAGCAGAACAAATCAAAACATGTGCTACCTGTGGGGTCTGACCACAACCAACCAAAATGCTGTTTCACGATGTTCAGAAAACATCACAGAGGCGCACCCTCTCTTTTCCCTCTTTCTCTCTGCAGATCCTGACTCAGGAGCAGAGACCGACTTTTCCCCTGGTGCTCTCTCTAGCTGTCCTGGATTCTCTCTGTCCCTCACCATCTGGTTGGTCCAGATAGCAGCTCAGACCTGGGCTTGGGCCTCAGCCTTTGAGTCAGGATTGGCATGCACCCCTCCTGGGACAGGGGATAGCTATCTGGCTTAGCCACATGCTTGTGGGTGGCCCCGGGTAGAATCTGCAGGGAGAATGTGCTGGTGAGACAGGAACTCAAGTTCCCTATTTAAACAAGATAGCTGCCCTTGCAAACCCATGGGCCCCTGGATTTCCAGAAGGGGAAACAATTGCAAAGCATTGCACTTTCACTGAATTTGCCACTGCTTCTGTCACCTGCATCTGACCAGAAGAGCCCTGCCAAGGGGAGTGGATGCTGGGCCAGGAGTCTTGCAATTCTGTAGACTCAGCCTCTAGGTGCTGGTCTCCCAGCACCCAGCCTGCCTGAGCCACCTTTCACAACGGCCTGCAGCAGGCAGATATCGCCCTGTGGAGGCTTGCTCTTCCCCTCCCCTGCATGTTCAGAGGTTGGTCCTGCAGTGACTCCCAGGATGATTAGGGAGAAGTCCACTGGGGAGAAGGAGGGGCAATTGCAGGAATCGACTACTTTTTTTAAAATGAATCCTATATATTTATGTTGCCCTTCATGCTTTTTTCTGTACATTTTAGGTATCTCAGAATGAGAAAATTAGAAAAATGTACCACTCTCTGTATGAGCAAGCCTGGTTGCTCATAATGTATTGTTGAGTGAAAAAAAAAAGTAATTTGCAGAACTGTATGTAAATATCCCATTTGTTTCAAAACCCATACACATGTGTAGGATGTGTGTGTTTGTGAAGGCCAGAAGAAGGTGGGGAAGGAAAGAAAAAGACTGTATGGACCGTAGGTACCTCTTCTGAGTGAAATTAGAAGGGTTGTACTTTTCATTCTATTCACATGCATATAGTTTGAATTTTTCACCACATTCATTTTGTTGTTTAAAAAGGGAAGAAAATAATAAAAGGCAAACACCCAAGCTAGTTCCACAAATAGGGCCAGACTAAGTAGTAGTGGCTAATGATGGGTGTTGCCTGACTGGCTGGGAGGTTTTGCAGTAAGAAGGAAGGAAACCCAGACCAGACCAGAAAATGGGCCAATTCCAGTCACCGAGCCGTGCGCGCTCGGCAGCGTGTGGCTTCAGAGCCTGTGCACTTGCAGATGGTGCTGCTGAGTTTTGCTTTTCCTTCCCTACCCCTTCCCTGGGGGAAGCCACACGGGCTGCTCAGATCCTCCAGAGTTCAGCTCCCCCGAAATTGCCCTGAGTCATGTTAAATCACCTTCATCACCCAGTCCCTGACCACCTGCAGAGACTCACCCCAAGCTCATATACAAGTGGGTAACTGCCAGGAAGGCGGTCATGGTCACCGAGCCACCTCTGCAGAGTTCTTGCTCCCTATGAAAGCTACTCCCCCAAACCTGGAGCCCCGCCAAGTGGACAAGATCAGAGAGCATGGGATCAGGCGGGGAGCCCTGTCTGGGAGTCAGGAGCCCCAGTGTCTGGGGTTCTCTGCTCAGTTCCCGGGGGCCTTGGGTAAGTCATCAAGTTTCCTTTGGCCTCCGTTTTCTCATGGATGGACAGAGAATCTAATGACAGGGTGATTGAGAGATGTGATAACAATTGGAAGCGCTTCAAAAGGTAAAAGGTGGTGATACACAAAGAAAAACTGATCTTGTAGACGTATTATGAGCAGTACTGTGTTAGGGCACCTGCAGTGTCTGGGTTGATTTCTCTTTCTGTTTTGATTTGCAGGCAGAGCCCCTTTCTTTGCAGCATTCAGAGTATCTGCTGTCCCAGAAATTCCTTTTTTACAGATAAGGACCCGAGAGGTGGAACAGTCTGTCTCTTTTCCCCACACTCCCAGATTCCATGTGCTAGGGGCTCAGCATTTAGCCAGACTCTCCTGAGAGAAGAGTCCCTTTGATTCTGAGGGCCTCCCTAGAGGATTGTCAGCATTCATTTAAGAACATAGGGTGAGATTCCACTCCCCACGTGCACTTCCTGAAGGGCCTTGAGGAAACTTAAACGTTCTCCTTTGTGATTGTGGAGTTTTCCTTCAGATGTCAGTCATTCAGAATAGTGAAGGCATTTAGGCATAGAATTCAAATCTTAAGGTTGAATGGAGCACCTGAACTGGCCAGCTCATTTGTGTGTCTTTTCTTTCCCATTTTCCCACTTTCTTTCCTCATTCATTCGAAAACCATTTTAAGTAGACATTGCATATTGATTTGTTAAGTAAATGTTTATTGAGTGCTACCACGTGTAAGACCATATGCTAGCACTAAAACCAGTTTTGTCTTCCATTAGCTTAAGTCCTGTAGGGGTGGGGAGCACAGAAGCGAAGCACTCAAATAACCACATTACAAAGCAAGAGGCAGTTCAATGCCACACAAACAGAACACAGAACAATGTGTTTTAGACCCTTAGAGGAAGAGCAGACCATCTGCATCCATCTGACGTAACAAGGAGGCACATCTCTGATCAGATCATTCCCTGCTCAAAAATTTTTCAGTGGCTCTCAGTTGCCTACAGCATAAAAGTTCAAACTTAAGAGCCTGGCAGCCAACCTTTTGACCCCCATCTCACACCCCTTCTAACTCCTTTTCATAATGTCTCTGCTCTGGGATAGATACCTGACCTTCCCTGCACAGGACCAGGGCTTTCATGGCTCTAGCCTTCGCCCCTCTGTTCAGAATGCCCTCCCCTCTCAGCTCCAAATCATGCAAAGCTGTGTCACCTCTTCCACAAAGCCTGCCCAGATTTCCCCCAACCAGAAGGAATCCCTCTGTAACCTGAACTCTCCTTGGACTGACCTCTCTCTGTTCTGATACTTTTCTGCTTACAGTTATTTGTGGATACATGTTTCCCCTCTACTGGATTGAAAGCTCCTTGAGGATTTGTTTATTTGTACATGCTTGTGCTTGGGGGAGGATCAGAACAGACCCTGGTAAACAGTTGTGGGAGAGAGGGACAGGGTAGTTTTGGGATAGAGGATCATCAGAGACCTGGTAGTAGAGGTAACCTGACATGACTTGAAAGCAGGGGTGGAATCTCAACAGGGGAAGGTGGGAGGGTCCAGGGCTTTCTGAAACTAACAGAGTAAGTCACAGCATTCAGTTTCAGAGATCACTTGGGTTGCTACAAGTAGGATGATTTGTCTTTTCCTCTTGGATTGTGTGGCCCCTTGGATCAATGCTATAGACCCTTTCCCCAGAAAATGTACATACCCACAGCATTTCACAGAGAGTACCTGGACCCTCTAGAGGCAAAGAATCCCCAAAGCAAAAAAAAAAAAAAAAAAAAGGTTGAGAAAAGACAAAAAAGGTGAATTAGAGCCGTATTGTAATGGGCTTCTCAGTCACAGTGAAAGTTGTGTTTGGTTCAACAGTTCATTGGGGCAGGTGATGGTTTTGTTTGTTTTAACTTTTTATTGAAGTATAATCTCATGCAGCTACTTACCCAGATCATAAGCATAATTCCCCCCCCCCACCCATGTCTGTGGCTGAACACACACATGTAGCCAGCACTTAGAAAAGCCCCTTAATGCCCCCTTTGCCACCTTCTCCTTCAAAAGTAAACCCTAGCCTGATGTCTAACAGCATAGATTAGTTTCCCCCCATTTTTGTACTTAATGGACACCTATGGTATATATTCTTTTAAGAACCTGGCTTTCAGTTAACATTATGTTTGTGAGATTCATCCATATTGCTTCATGTATTTGAAGCTTGTTTGTTGTCATTTGCTGTAGAGTATTCCATCGAGTGAGTTACTATTCTCCGGTTTTGGTCATTTGGGCAGTTTCCATTGGGGACTGTTATGAATGGTGTTGCTCTGAACACCTTAATGCATGTCTTTTTTTTGAACACATTTCTGTTGGTATTCACCTAGGACTAGA